AGATTAAATGATTATTTAACACAGTACTTTGTTGCACTGATAAAAGACAAAGAGCTCGTGAGTACCGAAAGGTTTTATATCCCAAAATCAACTTCTTGTAACTAACGCGGAGCACAGGCTCCTGATTCGGTGCCGCTTTTCTGCCTGATTCTGCTGTTTATTCATTTATAGGTATTAATATTAATAATATTAATATATTAATAATTTATTCCTTGCAGATAAATAAATTCGTTATGGCTGCTACTGATATGTTGCAACTAGCACTGCTGTTGACGATACTGGTGCAGGCTACTGGGGTTATGGCGATGGTGGCTGCGATACCTGCAGAGACTTCCCGCAGCCGCGTGCTGCGTACTGATGCTGCCCAATTTATCCCAGCTGCGCAGTCACGCCGTAATGAACGAACGTTTGCAGATGTGGCCCGTAATGGGCCAAGAATGTCCACTAACGTCAATCCTAGTTTGTCAGCTGTAGAAGACAGCGGTCAAATGTGAATGCGACAAAGCGTCTACAAACTTCGTAGGAAGCGTCAAGAATTGCAGACCGAGGTCCAGCCCGCATCTAGGCAGCAGCACATCCACTTTGACTAGCCTGCTGATAACATCTTAGTTGATATTAAAAAGCTTTTTCAGGACCTAATTACATCGCAAGAAAAGGCGCAGGCTGAGATGCGCCAGATGATGCGCGAAGCAATAGCCAGATCTGATAAAATGTTGGATTTCATGATGAAAATCATGACTACCCTGTCTGAAGGCACATCAAAATGCAAATAGGCATTTCCATACCTATTATTCCATTACATGGAAGCGGAAAGCCTGAATCTACTGTATGAAAGTCATGAGGGATGGCATAGCATGTTGAAAGGAGTTCTATCATTGCCGATCCTTTGGAATTGGTTGTTCCCTCACCTATACCGGACAATTGAGTAATATTATTATAATTGACGTTATCAAACGAGTCCGTATCTTCCTTTATTAAAGACACATCTGCACCTGTATCAACCAGCAATGTGTACAACTTATGTGTTGCTTCATTTTTTAGTGTAACATAAAGATTGAAATTAAGGTTTATTGCGTGAACCGTTTGTTCCACAGTTTTCTTTATCCCAAGGGTTTTTACTGGTTTTCCGACGTGGTTTGCACCAGTCGGACTTGGTTATAATTGCTGTTATTTCGTTGGTAGCCATTCTGGTAGTTTCTACTACCACGATGATTATCTCCACCGCGATAGTTATTTCCACCGCGATAGTTATTTCCACCGCGATAGTTATTTCCACCACGATAGCTATTTCCAACGCGATGGTTATTATTACCTCTGGCTCTATGATTATTACTGAAGCGTCTGTCTATTTGCTGGTTTTTATAATACAAAATTGTATCTGTTCGTCCAGTTGCATCGGTACAACTATTGACAAACTTGGAGACAGCCTCATTCATATTGTTGAATTGGCCGGCCTCCATTACCAGCTTTACCCTGTCAATGTTACAATTCTTTATCATTGATTTTACAGCATGTTGCGTACTGTATTTAGCGGCTATCTCCAATGAAAGTCCATCGTTTATGTATGCACTCTCTAGAGACTTTGTCAGTTTTTCTACCTCTTGGGTATACTGATTAGCCGTCTTGCTCTTCTGTTGAAGGTTCATCAGTTTGGCTGTAATAACCTCAACTGAGTCGCCTTTTACAGTGGCAGAAAGTTTGCAAACAATTTCAGCAATTGAGTTCTCAGTGCTAATTAAATTGCGTGCGTTGCCTTTGAGCTTTGTTTTTATTAATTGGACTGCCGTTGACTCGTGTGTCTCTTTAATTGAGTCCACCAACTGCAACGCGTCCAAGAAGCTTCTCAAATTTTCGGCTTTTCCATCAAACTCCGGTATCAGAGATGACGCCGTTTTTAAGAATTGTATCTGTGTCTGCGACATTTTTCGCAACTGCGGGCTGTTTACTATTGCGTTGAGGCTGTCAGCCGGTTCGCTTCTTGCGGGGCTGTTATTGGGAGTAAGTCCGCTTTTGGAATCTTCTTCCGAAATTATGCTGACATATGCCGTATTTGGCGATTTTGACCTGGGACTTATAGACATTACTTCATCTTCGTCCACAGCTATATATGTCGCCGCGCTACTTATGACATTTGGCAAGTGTATATCCAAGCCATGTCTTTCTCTAACAGCGAGCAGCTGTTCTCTTAGACGTTTGACAACGTCTGAAGCCTGAGTCCAATGGAGATCCGTGAGCCTAGGTTTGTTTTCTAGGAATATCTCTCGGATCTCGTTATAATAATGCACCAATTTGATGGTGTGCTTATTCAATGTGCCAATCTGTATTGGCCTATTTTGAGTGAGGCTTTTGTATGATTTATCAAATTCAGCTCTCAGCTCTTGCACTCTCCCGCATATAGCATTCCAGTCCATGTATTATGGATAATTTTGATGCTCAGCAAGAATTTTTTCATTGGACTCCTAGCTAATTAAGTTGAACACCCTTTCTTTTTTTTACTTTTAATTTTTATGTTTTTATTTATTATTTATTAATTTTTATTTATTTATGGTTCTTCTATTCTATTCCTATATTTCATAATTATTATTTACTGTTTAAATCTATTGTCCTGGTCATCTACCCATTGTGCATAGTGGTTGATGATTCTACCTAGGTGTGGATTTCTTTCCACTCTTGGGCATACCTGATATTATAATTTTACATTGGTGAAAAATGTCCTTTTTTTTATTTATATTTATTTATTAATATTTTTTTTTTACTGCTGGCAGTAATCGCTGTATATTTTTTTTTTATATTTTATCTAAGTCATTTGCCTTACTCAGAATTCTTTTTTTGAGGCATTTATTGTGTAGCTTATACAGCTTAAAAAACAAATTCGCACTCATTAACACAACGATTACTACCAACAGGATATTTATCATTTCTACATCTACTTTCTGTGATTCCACCTTATTGACAATTCCCGCAGTGGAATCTACTACCTTAGTGTCTATCAAACCCATTTTGGGTATATTACTTATTTTATTGGTAACTATGCCACTTTTATATGGCTTATCTATTTCTATCTGATCTATCTTACTTATACTATTGCTCCTCATTCATACTATTAAAAGATTGACAATTTTCCTGCCTATTTGTTCGTACAGCTTTACGGGCTGTACTTCTAATCGGGCAGAAAAGGTTCCGCTCAATTTTACAATTTTCCTTATTAATTATTTTACAATTTTCTTATTGGCTATTTTTTACAATTTTTCTTACATATATATATTTTAACTTAAATATGCATTACAAATTTTGCATTATAAGTTTTTATCTTTGCTTAATCATTAAATTTTCCTCTGGTGTCCCTTTTTAGGATTGTCGTCTTGTGGCGTCCGCATCAGCTGGACGTCGCCGGTGTGGCACGCTGATGCTCCCTCGTTGTCGCTGGTGGTGGTTTGCCTCCCGCACTTGTCGCTATTTGATGTGGTGTATTCCCGCATCAGCTGGGCGTCGCCGGTGTGGCACGCTGATGCTCCCTCGTTGGTGCAAGGGGCGGCCTGCCTCCCGCACTTACAGTTGTCGTCGGCGTTTTTCCAGCGGTGGTGCAAAAGGCGGTCCTATGCCTTTCACACTTACTGCTCCTAATTGCGTATCGTGCAGTGGCGGCACGTGTACTCGCAGTGTGGGGTGTACAATGGTCCCTCGCAGTCCGTTGGGCAGCTTTTTGCGTTCTTTGGCAGTTGCTTGGGTGAAGGAGGTAAAATTAATTCACGTTTATTTATATTTTCAATACGAGTGGAGCGAGTTGCGGAGTCGGGTTTCGCATTTTTGCTTATTGACTTTAAATAGTCAAGTTCTGCCTGCAATTTTTGGGCCGTTGTCCACGCGGGTGGTGTTGCAGTTGAGAATAAAAGCCACTTTAAATGTGCTATTCTCTTATTAATTTTATTGTGCACACCTCCGCGTTTACCCATAACTCACGCACTCTACTCACTCAGTATTTTTCCTCCGTCCAGATCCTTTTCATCCTGTCCTGCTTCACGTCAAAGTCTATAATGCTAGTATGATTGGCTAGCATTCTCGTTATCACTTTTGTAATATTTTTACAATCCACATCTACATCCAGATCCACTCCAAATTCTCTATGCGAAGATTGCAGCTGTCATGGTCGCCATGTAATAATATACGTTGTTTCCATTATGAGTTTTTATTCTTCTTTATTTTATTTACGACACTCAAACTTAAAACTTGAACTTATACTGACTTCTTACATTTTACTTAAAGTGAACTTAGCTAAGGCCTCGTAGCTGCGCTGCCAGAGACGCCGGCAGCGGAGCGGCCGCATTATGTATTTTACTTATGTATTTGTACTCAGCGCTGTTGGCAGCGAGAGCGCGAGGGAGAATGTTATGTGCACTTGAGGTGGCTGACACTAGTTGCACTGACGCTGCACTTATGTCGCCCAATGCATGTGCGATCATATTACATCGCGTCCGAATTATGCTTGGCTTTTTGAATTAATTTATTCACTGCAATAAAGTGTTACAGTGTATGTTCTTAAGAGTGCACTGCGTACAGTGTGTACTCCTTATGTATGCACACTACAATGCACGCTATTTCTGATTGCCACCTCTATTTCTGGGAGGTGGAGATGTGAGCTGCCGACCATTGTCGGAGTGTATGACTTCTGGTACTCCGAACGTATGGAACACTTCGTTCACTAAGAAGTCGACAACGCCCCGTGCAGTGGACAGGACAACGTTTTTACCACTCCTCCTTGCGTTGAAACTTTGGTATGGGCTTTGGCTATAAGCTGATCTTTCTACCGATTGTATATAGCCCCATTCTCGATCTTTAAGTCAGATAACCTATTCTTTTGATTTTCGATTTCGCTAATCAGCTCTCGATACTCCTCTGACTCTAACTCAGTGGTTTCTATACCCAACAGGTCTCCTGTAGATATATCCGCCACGATGTTGTCGGAGCCTTTCCGGTGCGTAATTTCAAAGTCAAAGCCTTGGAGCATCAACGACCAACGTGCCAATCGCCCGGACAAATCTTTCATTGACATCCACCATTTCAGACTGGCGTTATCGGCGATTACCGGGAACGGCATCATTTCGATGTATGGCCTGAATTTTTGTATCACCAATACCGCCGCCAAGCACTCACTCTCGGCTACCGAGTAGTTTACCTGATTCTTGTTCATCTTTGCCGAGAAGAACGCAATGGTCCTCTCGTTTCCCTGCAAATCCACTTGGAATATTACTGCTCTGACGCCAATATGGAATGGGCCACACTGTACAAAAAATGGGTGTGAATAATCCGCTTGTACCAACACTTGCGCAGATGTGAGCGCATTTTTCATAGCCTCGAATGGCAAAATCTCTTACAAATCGTCGGTACCACCCGCCGGTTCCTAAGAAATCTCCAACCTCCTTTATGGACCTTGGTACCTGTATGCGCTATATCGCCCTCACCCGTTCCGGATCTGTTCGAAGTACGCCGGCGCCCACGATGAACAAAACTTCGATTTTTGTAACCCTATCGTCAGATTCGCCTTCTTCAGGCATTCAGCGACTCTATGCAAGTACTCCACGTGGGTGTCAAAATCGGCCGCAAATACTACTAAATCGTCTAAATATACCTTTACTTTGGACCTCAGCTCGTAAGGTAGCAGGTACGCATCATCAACTTGTTCAACTTGCGGGCATCGAGGCAAAAGCGATTCTTGCCCGGCCGTCGCAATATGGTGGTGCGGTTACTCCACGGACTATCGCTTACCTCGATGACGCCAAGCGCAAGCATGCTGTCCACCTCATCCCACACAATCTTCTGCATAGCGGGTGAGAGAGGGTAGTGCCTGTCTTTCACTGGCTCTGCTCCGCTGACCAATTCAATACGTTGAGTCTTCAAAGTGGTCTTTCCTAATCCCGCTTCTTCGAAAGTTAAAAACTCCTTTTTTACCTGCTCCAATTTTAGCTTTTGGTGTTAATTTAATTCCCACATATCTGGTTCCGGCTTCATTTCATCCTGGTCCACATAATAAGCCACTCTATCGGCTAACACTTCAACGCGGACTAGTCTTTCCACGGCAAGCTTTTCTGGAGGAATTACGAATGGAGCCAAATCGAACAGCCGCCAAAAATCTATGCCAAAATACGCGTTCTGTTCAAGTGATGGGCATACGTAAAATTCCACTTCTTTGGCCTCCTCTCGATACTCCACTGGTAAACGCACTCGCCCAATTACGGCTCTGTCTTCCCCGCCTGCTGTTTTAATAATTGAAATGTACCTTCTGGGCTCCACGCCAATCTCTTTCAGCAGTTCGAGACTGCCTTTGCCTAACACGCTTACCGAGGCCCCGGTATCTAGCAGACCGCGTAGCACCAGGTCTCGTACCAGTACTTCAGCTAAAACCCTCGGGTCTGCTGCTCCTTCGCGCCGCACTGCCTAGGCTACCCATTTCTTCGTCTGCCTTCTTACTCGGAATCGTGCTCGGGCCTTTTTAACTTTGGCTGTTACCATTCTCATGCCGCCTAGCTGATGTTGGGAAAAAATTCTATTCCGCGCCTCCAAATATGCCCGCATCTTTTCTTCGTACAGTAAAAATTTTAACTTATTCCTATTTTGGGTATTTTTATTATCCAATTCTTCTTTCAGGACCGCTCCGCTGTCATCCTGGTGGGCACTTGTGTCGAGCGCGATTCGCCCACTTGCTCCACACTCCGACGGCCGTTTCCCGCACAATCGGGGCATGAGGGACTATAGGTTTCTGGTCTACCGCATCCATAACAAAAGACGCGCCTTTCCGGTGACATGCAGTCGCGGAAACTGTGGCCAGCTTGTCTGCAGTTCCAGCAAACCAACGCCTACTGCGGACGCCTTGCCAAGCGCGCCTCCTCGATTATGCCATCGACCAACTCCTCCACTGCCGGTGAACGGTTTCCGCCACTAAAACGTGTGCCTTTAAAACGGGACAGCATGCTTCGCTTTAGTTCTGGCCAGCTGTCTGCCCGGTGGTTCCTGACGTACTGCCAGTACCACTCGCGAGCGTGCCCAGTCACTAGCAGATGGAAACTGTTCAATACTTCGGACCATGCGCAGCGACACTGCCTCTGAAGGAACTCCACCTGGAAAACGAAGTCTTCTACAGCCATTTTTTCCTTATCGCCGCTGAAAACGATGTCCCACTTTTCAACGCGGCACCATCCCGATCAGCCATTCGCCGCTACATAAGGAGGAGGTGGGTCCAGCTGACTCCAATCGTTACGCCTGTTGCCTCTTCGACGGGCCGACTGTGCCGCGGGATTTCGCCAATTTCGAGCTGTGTTGCTGCTATTGCCAGCTCCACTGGAGGAATTAGCTGCCGGCCTTGCTACCGGACGCGAAGCTCCTCTTGCTGGTGTTAGAGGTTCAGCCTGGTATTGATGCGGCCGTTTTGGAACCGCACCACGATTCTGGCTGACTGGCGGTTGCCATGCTCCATTAGCAGCTGAATCGCCGCTATTCGCTCGCGGTTGCAATACTTCTTTCAGCGCGCCCATCAAGTCTTCAAACCCCATTCGGATTTCTTCCTGCAAAACCTTGTTGATGCCCTCTTTTTGCGATTGGAGGTATGTTTCGTTCGCCTGGGCCACTGCTGCCTCTACTGCCGACGCGACTACTGGCTCGGCGTCCCAGTGCACTGCTGGTGCTATGGACGGCCTCAGAGGAGTGTGCATGAGGCCAACGCTGGAAATACCAACGGTTCCTTCCAAGTGTTCTTCCAGCACTGGATAATCATTTCTGGCCGTTCTCGATCTGCTGTTATACGCACGCGCAGAATCCTTTTCCATTTCAATCAAAAAAAATACGCTCTGTTTTTTCTAATATTTATTTATATTTTGGATTATGAATTTGTTCAGCATCCAAGCAAGCCCCGAAGTAAAATTCGTATCAATTTGATAATTGTATAGATGTATAAAGAACAAGTAAAAAAAGCTAAAGTCGGGTGTCCCGACTTTGAAATACTCTGTACATATGTTTACAATAATTATAGAAAATAAAAAAATTAAGAAAATAAAAAAAAAAATTTGATCGATTTTACCTCTCTCGGTATTCGAACTCACGTAAAGGGTGTATAATTGCACATTTACATAGCAATTGCGTCTGTGTGAGTGTATGTATGCCTATGCGCATCAATTCGTGTCTGTGTAAGCATTTTCGCAGTCAACCAAACAGCAACATCAACAACAGTCGCGGGCAGCGCTTGAGCAGCGCTGCATCAGCAAATATATTTATGGCTATAACTTCTTGTTAAATCGGTCTATCATAATATATATACGGACACATAATAACCAACTGGGGGTATTTCCAAAATTTTAGTTCGAAATTCCAAGAATTACGGGAGTTACGATTTGCGGGGTAGAGGGGGGAGGGAGGGGAATTCCAAAATATACATTTTCTGCGTATTCACATAAGGCATCTGGGACTAAAATTTGGTGTTCCTAGGTCTTATAGTCTCCGAGATATAGGCGATTATACGAATGGAAAATCGGGAAAACCCCCATAGGGGGGAAGTGGGGGGGAAAATCAAAAAAATAAAACAAACTCGTATAGAATACACACATAACGCATCTTTGTGCAAAATTTGGTGTCTCTATCTCTTATAGTCTCTGAGATCCAGGTGTTCATACGGACGGACAGACGGACAGACAGACAGACAGGGCTAGATCGACTCGTCTCGTCATGCTGATCAAGAATATATATACTTTGTGGGGTCTGCCACGCCTCCTTCTGCCTGTTACATTTTTCAGCTCCCGCAAACCTAATATACTCTTGTACATTTCATGTACAGAGTATAAAAACGGAAAGGTTTGAGAACGCCCAAACAAATCAGAAAATATGGATATGGGCAAGAAAATATATGTAATTGATATATGTAAAGTCGATAAATAAATAAATAAATACGCCAATAAGTAGATAAGTGAATATAATCACAAAAAAACTGTAACCAAATGTACACCAAACTTTGCACTGAAACCAACAAAAAAGAACATATACGCTCAAACACAAGAAAAATGTAAACATATGTACATATATGCACCAAACGTAACCAAAAAAAACTTTATAAAATGTAAGCAATAAAAAAAAACAATTTTCTTTTCGACTTCTGTATATAGGGGTTGAGACTCACACTCAGCAGGAACCCAAACACGGCTCCTATAATATCTACGCCTGTTACAGCTGCCCTACGCCACAATCCTGCAATATTTATATTTATCGCCTTGACGGCGATGAACGACAGCCAACAAATTAAATGGTTGCTTCTTGACACCCACTTCTGTTATGTGCACCATCTACTCTGGCTCACCGTGCGTAGCGGTGCATCGCAGGCGACTTTCCTTGTCATACTGGGCCACCGGTACTCTACGTCCACCAGGCAAACACGATGACACCACAGCTCCCACACAACTCCCTCAAGCTATCCGTACGAATACGGATGACTGTAAAAGGAGATTACATACGTGCGAACGGACAGAAATTGTGGCATCGGACAACTGTATGGGATTTTAGCTGTTGATATCCCAGGCGTACCCACCCTGCCTGTATCCAAAGGCAAAATTTTTATTGGATACCCTAATCTAGGGCCGTGCTTGGGCTATTCCATGACAAAGGTGAGTCTCCCGCCCCTACTGATGCTGCTTTAATGCATCATTATGAACAGTGCGACCATAATAATAAGAATTAATTTAAATGTGAATTTACGTGTTACAACTATTATGCATTTAACGCACTCATGAGTGCGTAAATTAATAAATAGATGAGTGTACTGTAACGTTGTTACTCTGCCGCGGGTATGCTCGCCGGCCAGAGTTTACTGAAATAATAATAAATATTAGGCACCCCAAAGTGCCGAGGCGTCCGCTTAAATAAAGAGGGCGGTATGCCGAAATCCGTTTCACGTTTTTTTTTATTAACTAAAAATTTACAGCCCGTGCTTCAGTGCGCGTTTTCCTTCGGGCAAAACAAGAAAGGAACTAACTAAAACTCCATATTCATCAACTTACAACTACTTTCGGCATTGAACTAAACTACTCCATATTCATCAACTTAAAACTACTTTCGGCATCGTAACGACGGACGGCTGCCAGCTACGTAACGCGTCGTTACACGTCCCCCTCCCTGGGCGGAACACGATTCGGTTGTGGGGGGTGGCCGCCCACGCCACCATCGGGAGCCTTCCCGCGTCCGCCATCTGCCGCAAGCCATGCGCCTCCGCCTGCGTGAACATCGCCCAGGCGAGGGGCTTTGTGGGGCCGCCGCACCTCTCCAGCATTACCATCGGCTGCTCACTGGCCGTGCCATCGGGCTCTCTGCCCTACGCCACAAACACCGGTCAGGGGACTTGCGGCTGTGCCACTTGCGGCCCCCTATGCCGCGCCTGCAGCTCCTTTAGGCATCTGACGTACGCCAGGCGCGCCTCCACGCTCCGTATGGCCCCTTCCAGCCGCTGCTGCCTTTCGCTCCGCTCCCGCTCCTTTTCCTGACGCTCGTGCTGCCGCTGCTCCTGTCGCCGCAGCCTCTCGCATCGCTGCTGCTCCTCCAGCTGCTCTCGTTGCATCCGTTGACGCCGCTCTTGCGCTCGACGCCCCCCGCGGTGCCCACGGCGGCGACGTCGGTTGCCTGCCGGCGTCGGTGACCTTACTCGGGCAGGCGCCCGGATTTGGCAGTTCCGGGGGTCGCGATCGAATTCAATCTGGCTTTGTGCCCGGCGCCACTCCGCAAGGTCAACGTAGCCCACATCTGAGTCCATGCTGCTAACTTTTATTTTTTTTCCGAAAATCTTCGTGTGACGCGTCGTTTTCCCGCCACGTGTGATATTGTTGTGCCAGCTGTTTTGGTAGCGCTGCCACATCTTATTTTCGCGGTCCGCCAGTGCTACCCATGCCTGGCGGTCTATCGTAGGTGTTACCATTTGCATACTTATTCGATAGTGGCCGGTGTTGCCATTTATCGTATCCCCTCGATAACACATTATCGACAGCCGCCCGCCGCTCTGGCAACTCGTCATCACCGCCCACATGTTTATATTGTAATTGGCTTCCGGTCTTATGCTATTATTCCGCGTTCTTGTTTCCTCTTTTTTTTTTTTTTTTTTGTGCTTGTCCAGCTGCCTGCCCGGCACTTGCCCATCTGCTGCGCCTCTGGCATATTTGGCGCTGTGTGTGTATCTCAGGTGGTGTGGTAATCTACGTCGCTTTACAAGGCCTGAAACCTAACAACAAACTCCATTTAATTATGTTTGTAGGCTTACATGGACATCTTCTTCGGCCAGAACGGCAGCTTTGCTGTTCCCGCTTTGGTGGACGCCGGTTGGATTGCTGTTGTTGCTGTCGTGGCTGTCGTGCGGCTGCCGCGAAAGTGGCTGCTGTCGTCGCTGAGGAATGGGCTGCTGTGGCCGCTGTGCAGTTGTCGGTGGTATGGCCCTGGCGACCATACTAACGCGGCTTCCGTCGCTGCTGCCTTCGTCGGCCTCGCTGTCCTCTGCCTTCACCGCTTTCAAGTCTCGTACATGTACCGTTCTACCTCTGCCGCCCGCCACTGGTCGCACACGCACTATGACTGGGGATATGAATGCCCGCACCGTGAATGGTCCATCGAAGCGAGGCGCCAGCTTGGCCGCAAACTGCTCGGCAGCGTTGGACAGGTGGTGTTGCCGCACGAGCACTTCGTCGCCCATTTTGGGTCGCCACTCGCGTCTCCGCAGATTGTACTGGCGTGCCTGATCATCGCTGGCCACCCCTTGGTTTCTTCTTGCTATACGGGCAACAAACTGTAGCAGCGTCGCGTGTGTTTCTGGGCTACCTGGTACTGCCTCAGGGGCGTCAGGATCCCTGCCGTACAGTGTGTGTGGATGCCTTGGTTCCCTCCCAAATAGGATGAAAGCCGGTGAGTAGCCCGTTGCGTCTGAAATTGCCGTATTAATGGCCAATTGTGCTTCCGGCAGTTGTTCGTCCCACATGTTGTGCTGCCCGTCCGCCAGCTGAGCAATCAGAGTTTTGACCGTTCTATTGGTCCGCTCCGTGGGATTCTCCTGAGGTGTATATGGTGCCTGCCTCAGCGAGGAACTGTTTCAGAGCGCGACTTGTAAACTGGGCTCCGTTGTCTGCAATGAGCTTTCTTGGTGTGCCAAACCGCGCCAGAATCCGCTCTCGTAAGACCAGCTTCACTGCCGCTGCCGTCGCCTTGCGGATGGGGACCAGTTCTGCCCATTTACTGAACTTATCCACCAGGACCAGTAGATACGCGTTGCCTCGTTTGGACCTTTTTTTTTATTATAATTCTTTATTATAAGTGCAGCAGCAGCACTTATGTGCCATATTCCACATATATAACGCTTACAATTGACGTGGATGGACGTGAACATATGTTTGTAACAATTTAAGAACATAGATAACAGAGGAAACTTATGCTAAGTTGGTGCATAAAGCTTGACAGGATTAAAGTAATTATGACATATATTAATACTAATTTTGGCAGCGAAATAAAATCATAATATAATGATCTTAGGATCGATGACTGGAGGTGGGCGCCCGTTAAAAACTACCCTGTTTCGCCTTTCGACGCGCACATGAGCTGGTTCGTCCAATTGGGCAGGGCTGGCTCGTCGTAGAAAGCGCCTGGGGTGCCGTTGTTGTGGTATAGGCTGGTTAGCCAGTGCTCTGGCAAGTGGGTTGACGTGGGACAGCAGTCGGTCGTTGTACCGGCTGGTGTGCATGTTGATCTCTTCGCAGACTGTGAAGAGTTTCAAGTCACGATGCAGGATAGTGTTGCGGACGTAGTAAGGAGCGCCAGTGATGGCCCTAAGGCACTGGTTTTGTGCGACTTCAACTTTGTAGATATGGCAGTTTGCGGCAGTGCCCCATACTGC